TGTGTGTATGTGTGTGGGGGGTGGGGGGGTGGTTTCTCCTGTGTCGTTCAGAGAATAACGGATGCATACGCCTGTCACCCCATTACCAAGATAACCCTAAGCCTTTATTATTTGTCTTCTGTTTCCAAGACCCCGTGGTACCTGTTCGGGTCCAGGAGGGGTGCTGCTGGCTTAGAAAGCAGGCCCTGTTAGCAACATGCTAACTTAGCATGCTAATGTGGCTGGCAGAGATGATACACAGTGTGGCTCCTAGCTGGGGGCCCAGAACACAGGGCGGCCTGGAACTCGGATGCAGGAAACAGGCCGTAGCCACGAGATCTTTGTCGTTATTTTTGCTACTTTTTCTCTGCAGTACAGAGAGTCAGGACTACGACTGGTAAACTTAAGAAAATGGCTGACCAGGCCCCCAGCTGTCCACTCTGCAGCACATTAGCATGTATGGAGTAGCAGGCTGCCAGATTTAACAGAGATTCACTAACACAGGCCCTGCACCGGCTCGCCTGTACCTACTCTCGGATGCTAATTTAATTACAGCACATCAAAATGCATTAGGCGCTTCCCAGCCCCCTGCAAATCTGCCAGCTCCTTCCACCAACGCAATTAACCGCACTGGAAACACCATGATACAATATAAGCCCCTCATTAGGGCGAATTAGCCGTCACTTAAGCACAGGGCCACGGGCTACGGGGCGTGCGGGCATCGTGGCCGGGAGGTGGGGCTTAAGGAGGGTCCGCCCCCAATGGGGTGCGGGGGAGCGAAGGCTCCTCTTCTCAGTGCAGCAGCTGGACATGTCTGCACTTAGATAAGATGCGGCTCGCTTTTCTGACGGGACACACTGCACGTCTGCAGCACCCCCCGCGGTTGAATGACGTATTCTTCCCTACAGCCTCTTTTGTTCACCTGGAGACGGACAAACAGACAGTTCACCTTCACACCGGCACCAATATCAGGAGGTCGGGGGACAGCCCATGGACGGGAGCCCAGGAGAAAGGCCCAGAGCATTCCGCCACACACAGGTGCAGCTCAGCGGCACCGGGACTGACTGAGCTGCGCCATCTGGGGCACCGAGCACTGCCCAGGTCGTGCTTAAGAAGAGCCGCGATTACGCCGCAGGCCTGCGCCCAGAATGTCGTCTCTGGCTGCTCACATACAAGCTGCTGCTACATCTCACCCAGTAAATCTGCAGCAAAGCATGAGCTGGTCGGCCATTTTGCAGATTTCCCCCCCCCAAAAGTTTGATACTTTGCACGTAAGATAGAGACTGTAGCAAAGACAGACATACAAACTCCAACATCCCTTAGGAAGCTCAGCTGGATAAACGCGATTTACAGGGACTCATAAAATCAGCAGGAAGATTAATATTTCAGCATCCATGAGCTGTTCATCTCGTGGGGTAAGGAGAGGCGGGAGTTCTCACAAGATCGCTGCGCGTCGGCCGCGCTTCTCTCAGAAAGGGAATCCGAAATGCAACATGTTCTGCACCTATTTCCCAGAAAGCATCTCACCTGGACATGGAGGCGTTGACGGTGAGGGCCGTGGGGTAGGGGTGCCTGAATCCGCCCGTGGTGATGGGGTAGACCGGCTGACCTTGCCTGCCAAGAAGAAAGGCAGGGGAAGAGAGCAGAAGGTAAAATCTCCCTGCGCTCCCAGCTTTATTCTCTTTTGATCAGAACAAAAATCTTGGGGATTGCAGAGTGGGGATCAAAGGCAGCAAACTCTGAACAATTTGAATGGCACAAATCTGATAGGAATGGCTAATTAAATTTTATAACCCTGCTTGTGTCGGTGGAATCCCTCTCCCCAAGCTGGAACTAGGTGTTTTGTTGTGATAATTAAAGACGAAGCGCCCAACGCTTTAATGGAGCCATCACGCTAATTGAGGTCTACACATCCAAAGAAAACAATAATGAATGTAAATTTATACCAAAATAAAGTGCAGCAAATCAAAGGCCTGTGCCGAGGCTCCCGGCCTCTCTCGGTATTTAGATCGCGGTGAGAAAACATTAAATTAACAGAGCTTAATTTGTAGCCTTTTGTCATATTAACAAGTGTTGACAAGAGTTACCAAGGGAGAGTCCCCATGTGGAATTGTGGGTAAAAGACTGGCAATCACGGTTCATTACTCTAATTGGACAATACAGCAACATGCAAAGTAGTATTTTCACCACAAAGGAGTAACTCAGGGCCAGGGAGGGGGGCAGCAACAAGGACGGCCTGCTGTAGCTCTTTGGGGTCCCCAGATGGGTTAGGGGAGCGACAGCGCACCCAGAGGGATAGGGACAAGGGTTCGACATGAGGAAGCAAACAGCTGTAATGGGCAGGTGTAGAGCCAGCTGTCTCATTCGGTTTGGTCTGATAGGCCTTTTGCATGAACAACTCTCACATCTCTGCTGAAATCCACTTGGGAAGATGGAGTTCATAGCAGCCCTTAGGGCTGACAGAATCAATGCTCAGCCTAAAAATTTCATGCTCAGCAAAAGCTGATCTTTAATGTTATTTAATAAGATAACAGTGTTATTTAATAGCCAGCAGGTAGTGTACTCGTTAAGAACGCGGGCTGGCTGTTAGACCCTTGAAAGGCACATGGCACTGCGGGTGCGACATCTCTCAGCGTGAGGCTTTCTCAGACTGTCCTCGGGTCACACAGGTCGACGAGGTCACTCCAGCTTAGCAGTACAGCAGCACAGCAGAACACTAACCATAATATTAACATTCATTTCAGGTCAGTTCAATTTGATTTATGTAACACTGGAATCACAAAGCGCCTTATAGGGTCCCAGGCCCCATGTCCACAGAGAGAGTATCTGAGGGGGAAGAACTGCTCAGAGAGTAAGAAAGCAGAGTGAAGAGGGAGGCCCATCCTCTGCTGGCTGCAGCAGGCACTGCAAGCGGCCATGAACTAGCTTTACGGTGAAATTCTGGCAAAAGAAGGGGCAGTGTAGGAAGGCTGGGGGGCTGGACGCACCGCTGAGCACCAGAGTATAGCGTGTATGGCAAGTACAGCAAGCCTGGCGGCTACGGCGAGGATCGGGAGCCAAGGGAACACTGAAGGACCAACTAAGGAATGAGGTGAAACCCGAGGGAAACGAGACAGTGGGATAATAATAACGGTAATAATAATAATAATAATAATAATAATAATAATAATAAAGAGGGATGCTTACTGTGGTACTAACCATCCTAGCGGATGGGGAATCTGCCCCACGGCCCCAGGGGACAGCGGGTAGTATGGAGAAATGTCAGGGGGGTGTGGGGGTCGCGGGATTCCTGTCAGGAGGGAGAGAGCGGAAAAAACATCAGTGCTGGCAAGAAGAAAAGCAGCAGAAGAGCCAGAGGCCGCCCCAGAAGGCCGCCAGAGAAAGCTGCCCCAGAAGGCCACCCCAAAAGGCTGCCTCAGAAGGCTGCTCTAGAAGGATGCCTCAGAAAGCTGCCAAAAAAAGGCTGCCCCAGAAGGCCACCCCAAAAGGCTGCCTCAGAAGGCTGCTCTAGAAGGATGCCTCAGAAAGCTGCCAAAAAAAGGTTGCCCCAGAAGGCCACCCCAAAAGGCTGCCTCAGAAGGCCGCTCCAGAAGGCTACCTCAGAAGGCCACTCCAAAAGGCTGCCTCAGAAGGCCGCTCCAAAAGGATGCCTCACAAGGCCGCTCCAAAAGGATGCCTCACAAGGCCGCTCCAAAAGGATGCCTCACAAGGCCGCTCCAGAAGGATGCCTCAGAAAGCTGCCAAAAGAAGGCTGCCCCAGAAGGCCACCTCAGAAGGCCACCCCAGAAGGCTCCCCCAAAAGACTGCCTCAAAAAGCCAACCCCAGAAGGCTGCCTCAGAAGGCTCCCCAAAAGGCCACCCCAGAAGGCTGCCTCAGAAGGCCACCCCAGAAGGCTGCCCTACAAAACTACCTCAAAAGGCTGCCTCTGAAGGCAGCTTCAGAAGGTTGTAGGTTGCAGGTAGCCTTGCTGTGTGCATACCCTTGGTGGTGGGACTGCCAGGCTCTATATTTTGTCACAAGCCATAAGGACACGCAAAGCCACCTGCTGGCATGGCGGAAAGGGGAACTAGAAGCAGGCACCCAGCCAGGTCTGTGCGACCCGGGATGGTAGAGCGGAGAAGCAGGGGACACCATTGGCCTTCCAGGAAAGATAAACCTCTGCATCAGAGGGGAACAGTAAAGCTCAACCTGAGGCTACACTGGACATCAGCACAACTGGCATAGAAAGAGGAGATTTGGAGCTGCTGTTTTACGACTAGCACTAAGCGCTGGGGAAGGGGCCGATCTGAGCTGCAGGCTCGGCGTGAGCAAGACTGCTCTGCTCTCTGACCTCTGGCCAAATGCCTGTTCTCTTGCAGAGTAACAGGGTCGTTCAACTTAATATTAAACACTGAAAAACCACACATGGGTTTGACTTGTCACCTGGAAGTAAAATAAACTCACAAACAGCACGTCGGGCCAAAGCCAATGAGACACTGGCCATGGGCTGGAACTGAACAGGAGTCTGTCAGAATCGCGTTTGCCTGCTGGCAGAGCAGAGACCCCCACCACCCCCTGTGGAATGCATCGGCTGAAACTTTGTGACCATTTTCCATCCCACAGTCAAGATGATGATCCTCGTTGTAGAAATGCTTAGGGACGACAGCTGTGGGACGTCCACAAGCTGGTGTCTCCCCAGGCAGCTATGCCAATCACGGGCGGCGCCAGCAGCGGTTATGCCCTTTTGCAGACACCTCCCAGGAAGGGCTGGGCCCTGCAGGAATCACTCCCGCCATTTCCCTGTACCATCAATTCCCCACAATCAGTCTAATCCAATTAGGACGTCATTAGCGATGCTGTGTGCACAGAGGGGGCGAGGAGTCGGCTAACAGGTTGGGTAAAAACTCAGCAGCATCATGAGAAAATTGTCAAAGCAAATGCACATGAGAGGAGGTCTGAGGAGGTCTGAGGGTGCCCCCCCCCCAAGTCGTGCTCAGCCAGCTCTTACCTGTTTTGGGGTCCACGTCTGTCTGTAGGTGGGGAGGCGGGTTTCCGGGCGTGAAGTGCTCATTGCTGTAGGTGATCAGGGGTGTCAACGGGTGGACGTGGTGGGGGTGCTGCACCACTGGGACTTTATTCGACTGGGGGGAAGAGAGAGGGAGGAGCTCAGCTTCGGTATCAGGAACACAGTGGTGCTATAGCGCTCCGGTGGAAGAGGCCTGGCCACAGGCCACCACAACGCCTGCCTTTCACAGCCCGGAAAGACCCTGGTGGCAGCTATTCCCCCAGAAGGCCATGTGCCTCACAGCAGCCAATCAGCAGGCTAGCTTCAGGGTGGAGAAGAGGTAGGGGCACGCAGGCTGAAAAAAACAGGCCCGGGCATTACCATAGGAGTAGGGGAAGCAGAGGCGGGGTTGAGGGCGAGCGGCCTGGGGCCCAGCTTAAACCCGCCCCCACGGCCCCCAGGTCTGCATGCCTTAAACCCGCCCCCACGGCCCCCAGGTCTGCATGCCTTAAACCCGCCCCCACGGCCCCCCAAATCCGCTTTGCCTGCCATGAGTTTGCATCATAAAGGAAAATATCATTTCAGCATTTGGCTAAATTGGTTTTAGCAATGTAATCTGTCCTTTGTCTGCCTAAGTGGGAAAAGGACCTTTTTCAATTAATCAAGATTACAGGCTGGGGGCGCCATGGGGGTCTGCGGGCGGCGGCCAGAGGAAGGAGCCTACCCACAGCCAGACACACCCACGTCAGGCCGGGCTGCAGGTTACCCGGGCCGCAGCTACGGTAATGCCTAGATTAGGGTCTGCACTGTAGCCAGTGACTTCAGCACTTTTAATGTGGCATGGTAAGAAGGGTGGGCATGGGGTGCAGGCAGGCACAGGGAGACATGAGGGACATGGGGAGGTGAAAGGGGGCACAGGGAGACATGAGGGACATGGGGAGGTGAAAGGGGGCACAGGGGGGCATGGGGAAATGCTAGCAGGTACGGGGGGTACAGGGGAGTACAAGCAGGAACAGGGGGGCATGGGGGGGCACAGGGGGGCATGGGGGGACTCCCCAAAAGGAATGACCTTTCCATGGGCTTGTCACAGCACACAACATGCGCAGGAGCCAGTAATCTGCCCAGGGATGACGGCATGGTGCATGGAAGTGAGTCCGGACAAACGATCGACATGAGCGGGGCAAAGACGGCCGCGTATTGACAGCTGTCAGTCACAGGCAATAAGCCGGCCGCGCATCGTAATGAATACTCAGGGCCTCGCCGGGCAGGGCAAACCCTGGCTCCACCAAGCCGCCTGAACAAGGTCTTCTGTGAGAACCAAAACCACTCAGCGGCTCACAATGCGTGTGTGTGCATGTGTGACTGTGTGTGCGTGCATGTGTGACTGTGTGACTGTGTGTGCTTGTGTGTGTGCATGTGTGACTGCGTGTGCTTGTGTGTGTGTGTGTGCATGTGTGACTGCGTGTGCTTGTGTGTGTGTGCGAGCATGTGTGACTGTGTGTGCTTTTGTGTGTGCGAGCATGTGTGCGCCTGTGTGTGTGTGTTTATGTGTGTGTGTGCATGTGTGACTGCGTGTGCTTATGTGTATGCGAGCACTCATGGCCCAGACTGCGCCCTTTAGAGGGGCGGGACTGTGGCTTCATGCCAGTCACCCCAGTTTTTCTAACACATTGTGACAAGAGCAGCCTGAGAGCCTGGAGCCGGGTTAGGGCTACTGTGGCTCACTGTGGCCCCAGTGCACCCCACATGGCTCACTGCTGCTTCCTAATACACCCCACGTCACATGGCTCATTGCTGCTTCCTGACACGCCACGCACAAAGCTCACTGTAGTCCCCGTGTGCCCCACACACGGCTCACTGCAGGCCCATTGTGCTCCACACACGGCTCACTGCAGCCCCAGTGTGCCCCACACACGGCTCACTGCAGCCCCAGTGTGCCCCACACACGGCTCACTGCAGCCCCAGTGTGTCCCACACACGGCTCACTGCTGCTTCCTGACATGCCATGCATATGGCTCACTGCAGCCCCAGTGTGCCCCACACACGGCTCACTGCAGCCCCAGTGTGCCCCACACAGCTCACTGCTGCTTCCTGACATGCCACGCATATGACTCACTGCAGCCCCAGTGTGCCCCACAAGGCTCATTGCTGCTTCCGCACACGGCCCACACACAGCTCACTGCTGCATCTTGACACGCCCTGCACCTTTAACCAGACCAAAATAACAAGTTCAAGTGCCACAGTCTGTGAATGGAAAGCACTGACTCTTTCTATGAATATGCGAATGTTCCCCGGCTATGTATCGGCTGCCGTTTTTTGTACCTTGATATATATATACACACACAGACACAGACACACACACACACACACATACTCTTATCTACGTAATAGTTCCCATGGGTCCACATAATCTCCACGGCGGTGCCGGCACTGTTACTCCACCCGCCACTCACCGGGCCCCCAAACCCCCCCGGAAGACGGCAGCAGGACACCGGAGCTGGCCTGTGCTGGGAAAAGCAGAAAGCAGACACCACAGTCTGCACCACTCTCCACAAAGATGGGCACTTCCTGGACTGGTCCCTGTCAACACCTCCCACTAATACCCCCCCCCCAACACTGCTGTACAGCTGCCCCTGCCCCCAAGCTGGGGAATAAAAGTATGGAAAGAAAGTGGGACTGGGTTGGGCTCTCACCCCTGAAGCCTCACATTTTAATCACACACACCACCACAAACACACATTAACAATCTCCCCACAAATCTCCTGTAAAAGTCTTCCATTTTGAATCTTGCAGGATATTAATAAATCAAATTCCATTTTACAGCTGACTGATGATGGGAGAGTGAGTCAGGAGAGTGAGAGCAAGCGTGCCAGCGTGTAAGTGCACATCTCTGTGTGAGCTCCCGTGTCGGCATGTGAGAGCACCCATGCTGGTGTTGGAGTGTGTGAGACTGTCCATGTCGGTGTTGGTGTGTGAGGCCGGCTGTGTCGGTGTGTGAGGCCGGCTGTGTCGGTGTTGGTGTGTGAGGCCACCTGTGTAGGTATGGACGTATAAGAGTGCCTATCTTGGCCTGTGAGCGCCCCTGTCGACATTGGCGTGTCGGCATTGGTGTGTGCGAGTGTCCGAGTTGGCGTGTGTAAACATCCGTGTCAGTGTTGTGGTGTGTGAGTGTCCGTGTTGGCATCAGTGTGCGAGAGCGCTTGTGTCAGCGTCTGTGAGTGCCTGTGTCGGTATGTGAACGTCTGTTAGCGCCCATTTTGGCATTGGCGTGTGAGCGCCCGTGTCAGTGAGTGTTATTGCCCGTGTCGGCATCGGTATGTGTGAGTGCCCGTGTTCGTGTGTGAGTGCCCGTGTTCGTGTGTGAGTGCCCGTGTTCGTGTGTGAGTGCCCGTGTTCGTGTGTGAGCGCCCGTGTTCGTGTGTGA